AGTGTGGCGCTGGCCACAGCTACCAATAACTTCTGCGAGATGCATAGGAATATACAAAACAATGAAACAAGCATTCGCAATATTAATCAAAAATTTCACGGGGAAAACTCGCGACAGGATTCTGATTTTGGCGCACAAGCTGTCTTTCAAAAAATGAAAACAGCAAATGAAACACGACTTTGCCGCGAAAAACCACCAATATCTTGGAAACCGATGTCACCACATGCTTTTTTTATATAGAACTAAATGTTACAGCTGTGAAGTGGAAACCACACGATAAATCGCTGACCGTTATTTAAAGTGTCGGTCAAGCTGCATAGGCTGTGCAGCTTACCCACACTGCACAGTCGCACAGCACTGGGGCAGTCCTTGAGGTTCAAACAGACGTAGATTTTCAGTACAATGTGTGTGCCTTATTTGCTGGATAAATAAGAAGCTGTGCGCGAAAAGAATAAATGTAGAATAAGAAAATTAAAATAATAAAAAATTGGAGGCTGGGAGATTGGAGCAACAATAATCACCGAAAATGATGTAGAGTACAAAACGCTGGAATAAGTTAAATACGAATAGGTGAACGAGTAAATGAGTGAACTGGGACTGTCTTGAGAAAAGGAAAATGACTGACCCAAAAAATCAAGACAGAGGCCTATCTGGAATGCCGGTTAGCAGCCCATAGTTCTCTTTCAGCTATGCGCTAGGAACTCGACATGACACCTGATGAAGCATAAACTGGATAGAGCGCTAGAAGCATTAAAAAACGAAGCACCAATGCTCCCTCACTTTCAAGAATTCAAAGGTAGCACCCGCACAAAGACGGCTGAACACGATAAGGCGATCAAAAGGACGTTGAGCACATGGAAGGGACAAGACAGCTGTGGATAACAATACTGCTATACAAGAAAAAATCACCAAGAACAGAAAGTCGACCACAGCTGCAGCATCAGCGGTAGTGTTGTCGACAAAGGAAGTCATTTTTTTTAAGAAAGAACGAGATAAACTGGAACAAATGGGTATATCACTCGAATTGAACAGGACGAGCATGTGGTCAACCTCCTGAAGGAGACACAAGAAATTCGCAAAACCCGAAAAAATCGGCTAAATTAGCCACTGTAATATCATACATTATTTCTGCAAATGTCAGCACAGTGTTATGTATGGCTGTAGACCTCAACTAAAGGCGGCCAAATTACGCACTCATTATATACATGCATAAGTGTATATATAATCAAATCAAAGCTTTCACGGATCCTATTAATGAATATGAATGACGTGACGCAGAAGCGTAGAAGTACCTCAGTTTTCGTACTCTCTGTCCAAAATGCCTCCCTCTACTTCTGCAACCCTCTGTCCGGACACGACATTTCTCGCGATATTGGCCATTTTTTTGTTTGCTGACGCGCCTTCACAGTTTCCACTGACTTCAGCCTACCTCCGCGCAAAACTTAGGGCTCTTTTGGTGAAATATCGTATGATCCTGGAAAAATTTTTCCAAAACAATGCAAAAAACTTAGCCAAAGATTCGGATTAGGTGAAAAGACGAATGAATGGGTTAAGAAAAACAGATATGGCGTAAAAATGCCATATTTCAATGTATGGGGGTCGTATGAGCAGAAGAGATATGAATTTGAATAAGTGCGAAAACTGAGATGCATCCTCATTATCGGAATCTAGACACGCCACTGACACATATTCACCAGGACTGAATGGATGGTTAATGAACTTTCAACGTGATTTAAACATACGTACACGCCGGTGGGCTATATAACACACAAGTAGCGCAAAATCGAAGAAAGTAATCACAAAGCAAAAACATCGATTTTTACAAATTGCCAAAAGGGTTCATATTTGGTATGAATGTAATTTAAGCTAACAGTGTGAGGCGCAAAAAAGCAATTTGTGGGAGAAAGAGAGAGGGAAATTAAAGAGAAAGAAAGAAATCCAATAAGCTCGAAAAATATTGGTTACCGGATTGTCGAAGAAGTTTTAAGAAATACCACTAAATTCATCACACAACCAACAGCAACTACAGTATGTTAATGATGAAAGAGAATAATCGTGCAGTAATTCCCCGTCTTGCCGTTCAGTCAACAACCTTTAAAAGTACTTCAAATTTCTGTCTGAAGCTCAAACACTGCACACTTGCGTAGACAGTTTTTTCCCATCGACCAACGGTTACGCCTACTACTATTACCGAGTCTCTCTTTTTGCAGCACCATGGGTCTTGCACTGCAACAAAAAAAACCCCCGAACAATCTTGCGATGCAACGCTGAAAGCCAGTCTTGTTCACACTTCAAAATAAAAAAAAAGAAAGATAGTTACTGCACAATTATTCAGTTCATTTATCACGAATTAGGATAAAAAAATGTGAGCATTCTGTCAGAAGATTTAAAAATCAACAACGAGTGGCACAGTTCCAGCAACACCGCAGAAAACAAGAAAGTGTGGAAAAGTACGAACAACGGGAATCCCTTAAGCATTGCTTCGAATGAGAGCAAAAATTCGCTGCAGCACTGTTCGCTCCTCCGTGGTAGCAGCAGATTTCTTCGACTGGGGCCATGTGCGGACAGCCACATCGCTTTCTTCTGGTTTTTCAAGGCGCGTCAGCATTGGCGAATGGAACGCAACAACCTTACTCGCTGGCTCAATTGTCTTCACTGTGAAATGAATGCGGTCTTTTGGATCGTAATACGTGAATACAAGGTACCTGCAAAACAGCAGTAAGCCCTTACTGTAAAAAAACAAAAAAAAAAAAAAAACAACGTAGAATCGCTGGTGTTAACCTGAAAAACAACTTTTAACACCCGTCTGTGGGGGAATGAGCCAAAATGGCTTATCCGTTCACTCCAGCCCCAGCTACTGATTTAGGCAAAATTCATTACTGACGATGACTGCTGCGTACTTTTGTCCCACAGTACCAGCTTCTCAAGCTTACCTTGCAACCTGACAGTTCAGCATTCCAGATCTTCGTTTTGTACGTCCACGAAGGACATAATAAGCGAGAAAAAATTTTCCCGACATTATCAAGCTCAGTGGAAACATACCCGCTGTCATATTTGTAGTTGATCCAGACGTTATGCTTTCGGTGACGGAAAACAAGCTGCTTGGTGTTGCAGGACGTGCTAACTGATCTGTGTCGAACAAACTAAAAAAGTCATTAAAATAACACGGCGCAATGCATACTGCGCAATTTAAACTACTAATGGTACCACTCTGCCGTTTGAGAAATCCCACACAAGTCGGAACATATGCCTCAAGCACCTTCTATCACAGCACTGTCAAATAATGCAGTGGAAGGAATTCTGAAGTACACTCTTTGCAGCGGAATGAAATTCCGTACTAGTTTGGCCCGACTGCAAAACTTACCGTTAGCGGGAAAAGTGAGAAATACTCCGAGGATGACAGTCAACAAAAACTCTGAGGGGTGGGGATTCCTCAGAGTGGCAATGGAACAGCCGAATTACAGTACTAGAGGCAACCTGTGGATTAGCCAGACGCGGGTTTCAGAAACTTCCACTTCAAATGTGCGAATAACCTGTTCCATAGTTGCGTACACAGCAACATACACGATGGCTACTTGCACTGTTTTCACATGCCAGAAACGTAGGCTCAAGAAAAAAAAAGATAAGGCAAACCTCGTCACTACACTCGTGACATCCGGGGCATTTTGTTGCATGAATGAATTCCGATGGAGCAACGCATGATACATCAATCAAGATCGTGTGGAACGGCACTATTTCCCGATGGTTTCGCCACTTCTGAAAAAAAAAAACTTGGTTTTTTAAGCGCAAACAGCCGGGAGAGGATGAAGAACTTCACAGGCCCCTGCACTTATTATAAGAAAGCGCACTTACACGGATGAAATTACATAGCGCTGTCGCAGTGATGTCAGTTTTGCCTGTGATACGCAAACGAAAACGTCGACGAACTGGGCTGCTCACTTTCAGAAACGATTCCAATAAACCTTCGTTTACAACAATGCATGCGTTATCCGTCTGCAACCAAACAATCACTCGCTAAACAAAGAATTTTGCTCGTAACGACGTGCAAATCGACTTAACCAGAAACCCAACAATTTCGCAATCAGCAGGTTGTTCTTGAAATTCGCTTTTCGAATGCCGGTTCGTCCGGAACATCATATTTGTTCTGGTACAAGAGAGGAAAAAAGATGGGTGAAGGCAGCTAGTATATAATTACAAATCACACTAATAAGGCCATCAACATAGGATCGCTAGATGGGCAAACGCTTACACAGCAGGCTATTTGACAACATTCACTGCACGCTGAATTCACTACAGCACTTAAAAGCAGCCCTTTGTTTAAATGAGTGTGTCACTCAAGTAAATGACCCACCCGACCGAGGGTATAATCTCAGTCACCCGATGCTTTCATTAACTCATTAATGGCCTTCCGCTCTGTTTCTACAGTTTTTATGCGTTTTTTGCAGCAATGCAATGCGAAAAACGCATATTGACGAGAGGCTGTCTCTGTGTGTGTTTCTGTGTGTCTGTGTGTTCGTCTGTACCGATTTTTCATCTCGAGACCGGCAAAAGCTACG